CAAAACACAATTGGGGAGGTCTTGCTCTACGTACACCAGGGTCCAACCTCTTTTTCTTTCTCAGCCTCTTCCCTCACATGAGAGAACTCCAGACCTCAAGCCACACCTCTTTCCCAAGCTCCCCTGACTTCGTATCTAAGATAAAACCCAGAAGCTGGTGATAACTGTAGTACCTCCTGGCATATTGCCAGTGAGTATAGTGCATCTATGCTGATCTAAAGAGGGTCTGTGTACAGTTAAGAGAATAAAGAGCTTGGTTCCCATTCCAGCTGGTCTTCAGCCTCCCCACATGAGCCAAAGTTTAAGGAGATCTCCATGGTTTGGGGTTTTCTTATTTTTTGCTTTTTTTTTTTTTTTTTTTTTTTTTTTTTAGTTTTTTGAAGTAGCAACTCAGCACTGGCTGCGGCACCAATTAATTTTGCATAAACTGCCACAGCACCATTAGATGCTAATCCGTTCATTCATAACCACAAGGTATTGTGTTAGGGTCATGTAGATGACTTGTGCCTCCAGCCCTGTGGATTTATTTAGTGCTTAGCCTCTAGTTCCTGCAGCTGCGTCCTTTCAATGACTGCTTTATGGTGGCCGAAAGAGTTGAGGTCGGCTGCCAGGACTCTGAGATCTGGGGGAACACATGGACACATTATTCTCTTACTCTGAAGTTCTCCAATTCCTGTTCCGGTCAGATGGGGAGATAGTGGGAGAATATCTCTGAGGCACCCCAGCACTTCGTGTTGATGATTTTACTCATGCTTGACATTACTGCAAAAAAGCAGGCTTAAATCTACCCAGAGTGTGTTCTTCCATGAAAGGTTAATTACTAATGAAAGTGTAATCATACAAAACATAATTCTGAATGTAGCTCCTGGCTTTCTTTGTAAGAACTACTATGGAGCCATTATTTCCTTTACTCGAAGACTACACATTGGATCCAGTCTGCTTCAAACAAGAGGCCATGAAAGAAGGCTTACTATGCTAATTGAATACTAATAAGGCTTTTGCTAAAGTTATTTTGTGTTACAATTATTTGCAACTATATTTCTTCTGGATTTACGTAAAGGGGAAAAATACCTCAAAGGTAGCAAGATTCTTGCTTAGGCTGAGTATTTGGGAGAAAGTATCTTGCCACTTTTTTCTGTGCTTGTAACATTTATAAAGGGTTTTGTGCAGCACTAAGGAAAAGCAAAATATCATCATCATTATTACTGGCCTTTGTCCACAGTGGATTTCATCCAGATTCTAACCAGTGACTCTGTGACTAACAATCTGAGTCACTAAGTTTCATATGTTTATGTATTTCAACACAATTCCCAGGCTGAGAGGTTTTTTTTTCATTTATTTTCATGTTTTAGGGCTCAGAAAAAAATAAATGCCTTTCTGTATTTTTGAATCCAGTGTTAGTGAGGGACAGACTCTAAGCAACTCAGTGCATAGATTGAATTGCTCCTTCAGTAACAGATTAGTATTGGCAAAAGTTTAAAAACTATCGAAGTGTCAAAATATCAGTATGTACTTTTAGGACAGAAGTATTTTAGCCTAGTGGAGAATTCAGGTAACTATAAATATTTGTGTGTTTACCATAGTAGTGGTACAAGATAATCTCGGAATTTTAAATGCAGGAAACATACAACTAAAAGGTGATACAGAGAACGACAGACAAACTCAGGTATAGTCACTGGTTGTTAACTTTGCAAAGATGTACCTCTTTAATCTCACAGCTCCTTCAAAGAAATACCAGAAAATAGATATCCTGAGCTAAAAATACTCTTTCCTTGTGGAAAAGTCTATTATTTTAATAACTTTCTCATTTTCCTTATCAATTCTCATACCAGCCCCAACTTGTCCCTAGATTATAATTGCTCCTGATTGGTCATATCACACCCATATTTTAAGATGGCAATTACCCTGCCATTCAGATCAGCTAACTTTACAAGCATTTGGTCATACATTTTCACAGCATCTCAGATCAATGATACCTTACAGTTTCCTAGGAGTTTTCTAAGGGTTCTCTGGCATGTTATCTTAGGTTAGTATCATTATATGCAATGCATCATTATATGCAACGATATATTGTCCCCTCCTATAGATGAGCAAATTAAGGCATATTATATTGATGTAATTGGCTTAGCCTCATTGGCTAAGATTGAATAGATTGTTAGTAAAAAAAAAAAAGAATCCTATTCCAAAGTTATTCCACTAGACGTGCAACAGAAATTTGAAATTTAAAAATAATTTTTGCCTCTAAGTTTTCATCATGCAAGATTGAGAGCTAACCCTGGACAGATGAGCTGCTATTCTTGGATATCGGTCCTTGCAATTACTATTTATGATATCAAGTATCATATCTTATTACATTAAGGCTGTCCAAAGTACCAAAGTATAATTAGAGCACACAAAATGTTATCAAGATATAACAAGATAATAAATTTGCTTTTTGAAATGATATGTTTAAAAAAAAGGTATATTTAAAAACCAGAACAAAAATACGTAACCAGTTTGTGTCAACTTTTATATTGCTAGTATAATTTCTCTCAAGTTCTTCTTGGAAAGTTCATTAATCAATTATATTTGAAATCTCATCCTTTTCTTTTCTACTCTCGTTCACTCTAAGTCAGTACAATAAATCCTAGAGTACTCTAGACTTGCAATACCCAAGTATGGAAACCACTAACCACATGTGGCCATTGAAAACTTTAAATTGTGGCTCCTTCAGATTGAGATGCACTGTAAGCATGACACTCACACTGAAATTCAAATATTATGGAAAAATGAATAAACATATTGCACTAAAGGCTGAAGTGATGTTTCTACTCTATTGGTTTAAATAAAATGAATTATTAAAATAAAAAAAATAATTTGTTCCTCAAGCATCAAAAAAATAAGTTGGTCTTCTTCAAATATCCTATAGAAGTCTATACAGAATGTTCTCAAGCATACGTTCATAAGGTTCCTGTTATCATTCAAGCAAGTTATATATTTTCACTGCGATCCTGTTTGGTTTTACATTTAAATTAATGGCCTTTCTAAGGAAAGATTTATGCACAATTTTTCGTCCATCTTCCACCGTGTCTGAGCTGGGCTCAGAGTTGCTGCTTTCTGATTTCTATCTAGCAGTTACACCCATAATTTACTTTGATGCCCCTTGCCCTTAATCTGGCCCATGCACCCACACTCAGCCTCTCATGGGTGAGTTTGATTTTGACTTTGCAGCAGTAAGAGACAACGCGGGATACCTTAAAGCACGCTTGGAGAACCACCTGCATTACACTCATCTGACAGCATTAGTAGGTGGATTTCGTGGTCCCACCCACAGCTTCTCCAGATAAGCTGCCCGGTGGGGGGCAGGTTAAGGGCGGGAGTGCTGGTAAGAAGCTGCCTTAACCTGCTCCCCAAGGGAGTGCTGTGAACCCTGAAATTTGACCACACCACAATGACAGTACTTTTCGGTTTCCTGAAAGTTTTAGTGACGTTGATTGTGCAGATACTTCCTGGGCTTGCTTTTTGACAATGCCAATGGAAGATGGACTTTCACCTTTGGGAAAAGAGGTGAAGGGCACACTATAAAAAGTGACCCTGAACAAGGGCCTCTGATAAGTACTGAGCGGAACATGTTTACCCATGCACGAGGAAACTGTCACCCAGTTCATAGCGGCGAGTTGGGCAAGCGTGGCGTCCAGTCTCCGCGACCCTCGGTGCTGTCTTCCTGCCTCTGCGCTGGCATCTGGAAAAGCCTAACAAACCGTGCTGAGCACGGCCACGTCTGAATGACTAATAGTTTTCCAACCTAGGGCGACATCAACTGATTGATGATGATTTTCCCTTCAAACCAGGCAAAATCAGCATTCCTCTCCCTGCCTTGGGCCAGAACCCAAGCAGGAGCAAAAGAGCCTTTTGGAGAGAGAGGGCTGAGCCTGAGAACGTGTCCACCTCGGGGCTTCAGACCCAGAGCGGGTCTGCAGAGACCAGGGGAGTGAATATATACGCAGGGAAAGCGGGGGCCTTGAGGAACGGACAAAGAACTGGCACTTCGGTTGGGGGAGGCTGGGATTAGGGGTTCAATTAACAAAAGATTCATAAGAAGAGGCTTTCGAATCTGGGAGCGATTGCTGTAAGCCGCACCCCGAAAGCCTTAGAAGCTGAGCATATGGTCTCACAACAGTGGTGGAGTGGATCATTTGTAAGAATCTCTCCCCCCACCCCCCCCCGAATGCGGTGAAGGAAAGGCCCTATTTGGAATTCCAGACCCCAAACTTAGGGCTTGGGCCGGGGTGAAAACAATCACAGGGCTCTAGCAAACTCCAGGCTTGGCGGGTCGAGGACTTTAAAAAAAAAACACATTTGGGTTAGTGTCGTCCACAGCCATACTTCGAGAACATCCCACATCGCAGACTCTTTCACGGATTCACTTGGGATAAAGAGCGCATCAAAATTAGCAGGAGCGACACTGTTCGCCCGAAAGCCGGGACCGCAGCCTTAGGGAGGCGGGGGCCATGGGGACACTTTTCTCTTCCTGTAAAATTCCTGCCGCGGGAGTCCCAGAGGGGAGGGGGCTCCGGGGCTCGCAGACGGGCGGCGGCCGCCAGGGACGCGCCCCGGGCCTGCGCTCAGGTGGAGCGCGCGCGGCTCGGCAGCTGCGCCCCGGGAGCCTCCAGGGAGGGGCCGGGGCCGGGGCCGGGGGCGGCGGGGGGGGGGGCGTGGGGCTGAAGCACATGCAGAAGGCTGATGGTCAAGGTACGGGCCTGACGCGGGTCTGGAGGCCGCGGAGCAGAGGGAGAGGCGCAGGGTCCTCCGNGGGGGGGGGGGGGGGGGGGGGGGGGGGGGGGGGGCGCGCGGCGGCCGCGGCGCTGGAACCGCGCCAGGCGCCGGGTCCGCGGCGCACGCTGCGTCGCCGCGGGCAGGCCCGGGGCGGAGCGGCCCCGTCCGCAGCCCCCGCCGCAGCCCCATCCCCTCCCCCCACCCCCCCCAGCCCTCCGCTCTCCCGGTTCCTTCCCCGCGCCCTTCTTTCCTTCCCGCTTTCCCCGGGAGAAACATGGCCGGGAGCAGCGAGGAGGCGCCAGACTACGGGCGAGGCGTCGTGGTAAATGCAAACTCCCGATTTCGGGGCCGAGCCGTGCGCTCCCCGCTCTCTCCCCTCCCCTCCCTTCTTGGCTCCCTCCTTTTAGATTAAATGCTTGAAATGCATTCGGGTGAAATGCAAGCGGGCCGCGGCTTTGTTCTCCCGCCCCGGCTCGGATCGCTTCCATCCTCCCCTCCCAGGCGCCCCTCCCCGCGCCCAAACCGACCCCACACTTAACAGCCCTTCACCCCGTGTTCTCAGTGTGCCCCCTTCGCGTCCCCTCCCCACCCGCCCCCGCCCCCAACTCGGGCCAGGAATCCAGTACTCCCGCGCTTAAGGCTGTGCGGTGCCGGGTCCCCACTCTTGCTAGCCACCAGGAGTCACCTTTGGGAGCAGGGCGGGTGTGTGAAGACCCCGGCGTGCTGCTCTTGGGGGCCTTCTCCCCTTTGTGCTTCCTCCTGACCCTTCCAGCGCAGGCTTCAAGTTTTGTTTTCCAAAAGGATCTTGAGGAATCTCGAGGGCAGCTAGGAAATCAAGTAGGTCAGATGGACGGAATGTGAGCTTTGAAACGTGGGCTGGGACTGGGGTCTTTGCAGCAGCGCGACACAGGCTAGTGCCTCTAGAACGTCAGTTGCCTTGTCCACAACAGGGAAAAGCGTGCCGGACGTCTGAGCGAATTGGAGCGGTTGTATGCAACGTATCTATCTAGTAGTGTGTCCTTAGGGGAGGATGTGGGATGATGGCTTCCCAGACTAGAGCCTCTTTATCCCTGGACTCCCTCAAAGAGGCGACCAGAGGGTACCCATCTCTCAGTGTCCTGGAATCAAATCCGATCATACCCTGAGGCCACTGGCCTCCCCTCCCAGCTCCTGTCCAGAATGGCTTCTATAGAAGGGGGTGGCGTTTACTATGTCAGGTTTGTGACAGTGGTGAGGTGGAGAGCGGGCCTAACTGGCTACATTAACATTCCTTTTTTTTCCAGAAATCTGTGCTATTCACAGACTTAGGCATCTGTGATTATGCATGGATTGCTGGGGTAAAGGGGTTGGGGAAGGAAACCCCACACGCTCAAATAGAATTTACCGGGCTGAAAAGTGTTGCACAGTTCTTCATTTGTCAGCAGGACTTTTCCAGCTTATTTTTATTTTTTTAAGTAGGCCCCATGGCCAACATGGGGTTTGAACTCACAGGCCCTGAGATCAAGAGTAAGATGCTCTACTGACTGAGCCTGCCAGGTGCTCGGGGACCTTTCCATCTTAAAGGATGAGGAGTTCATTTATTTATTCCCTCTACCCCTGTAGACTGTTCTGCAGGATTCCAGCTGGTGTTCTAGGCTCTAGGGAGTCAGCAGGCAACCACACAGAGCCCTGTCTTCGTGGGGCTCACGTTCTAAAGAGGGACATAAACAAGCAAATACATAAAGACGATAAGCTCACATAGTGACTTGTACAAGCTCACATAGTGACTTGAGCATTGCTTTTGCTCAAGTGGTGAGGATGGCCTCTTGGCAGTGACATCTGAGCCATGACCTGAAGGATGAGTAGGAAGTAACCATGTGAAAGCTCAGAAGAAGAGGTACAGGGCATACTGATTGCAGAGAAATCACTGGATTCTGACAAGGAATCATCACACCCAATTTATGCTTTAAAAAAAAAAAATCACTCCTGTTGCCATGGAGAGAACAGTCAAGCCTGGGGTGCAGGAAAGGAATGAAAATATAAAAAGGGAAATAAGTTCAATTCTGGACAAATTGAATCTATAAGGCTTGCAGGTCAAGATACACTGTGGGCAATTTGAAATTCATTTTTGCAACTGAAGAGAATGATTGAAGAGACTTGGAAATTGTCAGAAAATAGAAAAATATCTGATGCTTGGAATAGATAGGGAAGCCCCCAGAAAATAGAAAAATATCTGATGCTTAGAGTGGATAGGGATGCCCCTTGAAAATGGGGGGTAAATTATGAACTACTCTTATGGGTAGAAATCTGGAAAGCCCCAAATGCAGGAGGCAGAGTGTCCAGGAGAAGTCCGATAAAAAGACCAAGAATGAATAGCAAAGTCCGAGGGAACAGAGAGGGTGATAGGTGTCTAGGGAAGAGTTTTGGGAGGGGGCAGTGAGAAGGGCCATTAAGAGTGTCAGATGCTGCAGAAAGAGCAAATGGGATAAAGACGGAAAGAGGCCATTGTATTTAACAATGGCAAAGCCATTAGCAGTGAGAATCATTTAAACAACCATCCCATCAGTTAGAATGGCTACCATATAGTACTCCTATTTAATAATATAACTCTTAAAAAGGAATTGGGTAAATTTATATGACTAATAAGATAGGGAGATTGTTAAAGTCGAAAAAGCAAATGATGAAACAGTATAAATAGCCAGAGCCCAATCTATTAGTATCAAAAGAAGCTCTCTGGGAAGCAAGACAATTTAGTGAACGATGGAGGGAGGCAGTGGGGTTGGAAACAATGTGTAATGGGGATAGCCCCGGCCTTTATGCCGTTTTCCCCGGTAGAACCAGGGATAATTAGATTAACTCAAGCTGGAAACAGATTGGGAAGGCAAATTCAGAGTGAGTTCAACGTGCTGGTGAAGCCCATGACATCTAGGGTAGAGAGGAAAGGCAGAGCTCAGGAGGGTATATGTACAGGAAAAATAGAGAACTCTCAGGATGGTTGCAAAAAGTAAAAGGGAAGATTTAGTACTAGTGAAAAAAGGGAGGCGGGTATTAATAGTGAGCATTTATTGAGCACTTACTATTTGGTTTTCCTGGGCTATTCATTTGCTCCTTGCAGATCTGTGAGGTAGGCATATAATCTCTGTTTTACAGAGAAGGAAATGGAAGCACAGAGATCAAGTAAATCACCGGGGTCACATATGCAGCAAATGACAGAAGCAAGATTCGAAGTCAGGTTTTACTCACTGTGCTTCATAGAAAGCTGTGATTTCAGTGAAGTATTTCAGAGGTGGGATTGGTCTGGAAGATTGGATTATGCTAATCTGGAATAAAGGTGTAGTAGTTTGGGTTAGGGCAGGTGAGGGAGCCACAAGAGTTAGTAGATCGTGGGATGATCAAGGCAGGTTTGGGGGCTGTCTGGAAATGAGGGGGAGAGGGCAATTCTCGGTTGGTAGAAACTGTGATGAAGATGGCAAGGGGCATAGAGCCAGATTACTTAAGCATAAAACAAGAAGTATGGTTTGTGCAAGAGAAGGGAGTATCAAGAGATTTGAGATGAGTTTTGCCTACAGATGGCTTTCCGTTGAATTGAGGAGGTAGGACATGAGTAGAGTATTAACAGTAAGTGGTAGAGGGGCGCCTGGGTGGTTCAGTCGGTTAAGCTTCTGACTTTGGCTCAGGTCATGATCTCAGGGTTCCTAAATACAAGCCCCGCATCTGGCTGTCTGCTGTCAGCACAGAGACAGCTTCAGATCCTCTCTCTCCCTCTCTCTCTGCCCCTCTCCCATTCACTTGCACTCTCTCTCAAAAAATAAATAAGCATTTAAAAGAAACAATATGTGGTTAGCAAATGTTAACCCAAATAAGCGATATAGAGTTCCGAAACTGCTCAGGACTGACTGGTCACTTGATCTGGAGCTAGTAAGGTCACCCGCCCATGCTTGGTACATCCTCGTTACCGCGTGGGTAGAGATCTTTATCTCTGGCCTTTTTAGAGCAGGTTCTTAGATAGGTTTTGTTTTTGCCAAAGCATCAGCAAGAGAATCAGAGTACCTACACAGTGCGTTTGGAAGGAACAAGGAGAAGAGAAAAAGCTAAAATAATGGTTGTATTTCTGTTACGGGTGTCTCCCAAGCACCCCAACCCACCAAAGAATTGTGGCAGCATTGGAGATAAGTAATCAGATAATCCATTTACCACACAACTTTCCGAGGTTGGGTGCCAGAGAGGAAGAGGAAGGCATGTGTGATACAAGGTATTATTTGGTCCGTCGAGTCCCCTTTATTCTTCTGGTCCCAGAGCCTGGAGCCCTTCTTTTAGGAAGCTGCTTCTCCACGTTTTCTCCATGTGCGCTTTGAGGCCTCCATCGCCGTGCGCCCCCTTCCCTGGGCCAGTCGATGTTTGTGTGTGAGGTTCTTGGAAGCAGAGCTGAGGGATGAGACTCCTTTCCTCTCTGACAGTCGACGGGTAGACGTGAGCCTAAAAATCGGCAGCATCCGTGGCCCCTGCCTGAAGGAGAGAGTGGGGCCCAGCGTGTGGGGCTCAGAGGCAGAGAGGAGCAGCGGTTTGCTCTTTGTCTGTGTTTCCAAACTATTTTTCTCCCTGGGGGAGAAACTTGAAAAATCGTGCAAGGCATGTTTTCGGCAAGAAATTATTTTTATTGACTTAGAAGGTTTTCAGTGTATCTTCAGATGAGGAAAAAAGAGAACCCGAATGAGTTCCGGGATTTGAATTTTGTATAAAATGGCTCAGTTCATGTGTTTGTCGCTTCCCCCAGCTGAGCCATGTTTTGTGTCTTTGAACAGAGCAAGCATTGTTCGGAATAAACTTAGAGCATATTATCTGTGATACTGAAACTATTTAAAGATTTCTTGTTTTGATTTTTTGAAAAGCAGATGAATAACATAATTATCTGCAGTTCATAGCAGTCTCCATTCCCTCAGATTTAGGCCTTATTTTCAATGCAATCTGCGTGCACCATTAAGAATTACAAGGTATAGCCAGTAGTCTCTCTCTCTCTCTCTCTTTAACCAGCATATGACTTTCTTCCGTCATGATAAGTGTACTCTTTATTTATTTTTTTTTGTATTTTTATTTATTTCTAGGAGAGAGAGAGAGAGAGACAGCGTGAGCAGGGGAGGGTCAGAGAGAGAGGGAGTCACAGACTGAAACAGGCTCCAGGCTCCGAGCTGGCAGTCAGCACAGAGCCCGACGTGGGGCTCGAACCCACGAACCGTGAGATCATGACCTGAGCGAAAGTCGGACGCTTAACCGACTAAGCCACCCAGGCGCCCCGATAAGTGTACTCTTTAATCCCCATCACCTATTTCACCCTTTCTTCCCATGCACCTCCCATCTGGTAACCATCAGTTTGTTCTCTATAATTAAGAGTCTGTTTCTTGACTTGACTTTCTCTCTCTCTCTTTCCCTGTGCTTGTTTGTTTTGTTTCTTAAAGTCCACATATGAGTGAGATGATTTGCGTATTTGTCTTTCTCTGACTCATTTTACTTAGCGTTTTACTCTCTAGCTCCATCCATGTTGCTGCAGATGGCAAGGTTTGATTTTTTTTTTTAATGGCTGAATAATATTCCTTTTCATATACATACACCTCATCTTCTTTATCTGCTCACTTGTTGATAGATACCTGGGCTGCTTCCATAGTTTGGCTCATGTAGCTAATGCTGCTAGAAACATCAGGGTGCATGTATCCCTTTGTTTTTGCATTTTTTTGGTAAATACCCTGTAGTGTGATTCCTGGATCATATGGTATTTTTACTATTTTTACTATTTTGAGGAACGTCCATACTATTTTGCACAGGGGCTGCTCCAGTTTGCGTTCCCACCAGCAGTGCAGGAGGGTTCCTCTTTCTCCGCATTCTTATCAGCACTTGTTGGTCGAACACGAGTGGTTTCTTTATCTCTCGTGGTCTTTTATCTCGACAAGGAAATCTATTTCAGACTCATTGGAAAAGGGCAATTTGGATTATAGAGTAGTTTTAGAGAAATCTATTTCTTCTACTTTTATTTTTTTAAATGTGTATTTATTACTGAGAGACAGAGAGAGACACAGCATGAGCAGGGGAGGGGCAGAGAGAGGGGGAGACACAGAATCGGAAGCAGGCTCCAGGCTCTGAGCTGTCAGCACAGAGCCTGACACGGGACTCGAACCCATGAGCTGTGAGGTCATGACCTGAGCCAAAGTCGGACACTTAACCAACTGAGCCACCCAGGCGCCCTCTTATATTTTTAAATGTATAACTTAACTAAGGTAACAACATGTTCACTAATAGATTTGAGGCACTTCGGTAAATTAATTAAGGCCTTTAATTTGTAAGTTAACTAGGGTTGGTTCAGCACATCTAGATGGCGAATACTTACAGAGTTAAGTACTATAGACTAGATAATGACGTAACAGTGTTATTTCCGTTGTGTGTCTTATTGAATCCTCACAATAGCCACGTGAGGCAGACACTGCATTTTATAGATGAATACACTGAGACAGAGAGTTAAAGGCCCCAGGGTCTCACCCGCTAAACACCCGCCCTCACATGTATTGGACTTCTAAGTCCATGTGCTTGACCACTACTCCATGCTGCCTCTAAGCTACGGATTGCCGTGACAGGGCTTATGAATAGGTTGGTTTTGTCATTTACTCATCATTATCTTCTTCTTCTCCTTCTCCTCCTCCTCCTCCTCTTTCTCTTCCTCCTCTTTTTCCTTACTAGGCTTCAGGCCCAGCACAGAGCTTACTGTGGGGCTTGAACTCATAACCCTGATATCAGGACCTGAGCTGAGATCAAAAGTTGGATGCTGAACCAACTGAGCCACCGAGGCACCCTTCTTTTCATTTTTTGGTATCATTTATTAATCACTTATTCTATACCAAGAAATGCCCTAGGAACTCTTAAGATCTGTTCTCTCTCTCTTTCTCTTTCTCTCGTTTTTGTGTACTTGTTTTAAACAATAAGCACGTACTTCTCATAGTTCTGGAGGCTACAAGTCCAACATCAAGGTGCTGGCTGATTTCATTCCTACTTAGGACTCTCTTGCTAACTTGTAGATAGCTGCCTTTCTATTCATCTCTTTGTGTCCACACATGGTAGAGAGAGGGGTAGAGGGAGAGGGGCGGGGGAGAGAGAGAAAAAAAAACAAAAACGCAGAATGAGAGCACTAGGGAGCTCGCTAGTTTTCTCTTACAAGAGCACTAATTCCATCATGAAGGCTCCACCCTCATGACCTAATTACTTCCCGAAGGCCCCACCTCCTACTGTCATCATAATGCTTCAACATAAGACTTTTAGGGGGGCATAATTCAGTCCGTAGTACTGTAGAGGCAGCTTCTTTGCAGTAACCCCTAAATGGGTTGTTTCTGCCTGCTTTGGAGACTCTCGGTTCTCTGTTAATCCTCACACCTGCCCTGTCCGTAGGTTTTATTGTGTCTTATTTAAGGAGGGGGCCACCCAGTCTCAGGATGGGTACTTACCATAGCATCGCAGCCCGGTAAGGGTCAGAGCTAAGCTCTAGAACCCAGAAGAATGTAGGCTCTGAGATGCAGCCAAAGCAGGGGGGCAGGAAAGGATTTGCGTGGTCGAAAGAATGGGCTCGGAAGACCACTAGCCCATGAGGCCATCACCTGGCAGGGCTCCGGGGAGAGGAGTGGCTAAGTGTGTGTGGTCTGGAAGGGGAGCCAGAAAATGCCGTGCACTTGAGTGGTCACCCTGGGGCCTCTTGCTGGTTGGGGTTCTCATCTGGCCTTTTCTGCGGCCTGCCAGAGGTCTTTGGGAGGCTCCTCACGACCAGCTGGTGTTTAGGCTGTGACAGGGGCCTGTGGTGTTCCTGGTTACAGCAGGCCCAGGAAGTTCTCAGGGCTGGAAAGCAGAACTGCTCTGTGCAAATTCAACAGTTGCACGCAGCCAGTTTGCTGATGGAGGCAAAGCAAATGTGATACTTTTCAAATAAGCAGATGACACACACCATTTGGCTAACAATCTGCCCCATGGTAGCTGTAAATTTCCAGAGCCGTGAATAGCGGTGCTCTTTATATCACAAGGAGACAACCCAAGACAAATCAGTTTGGGCTGGAGCTCAGGTAGGACTGGGTAATCTGCGGATGGAGAAGGTGTCATTCATTAACTCACTGAACATTTTTGAGCACACACTATATTCCAGATCAGTGTTCTGAGCACTGGGGTTTCAACAGTGAATCAGACACGGTCTCTGTCAGAAGGCAGTAACGTTCTAGTGGGAGGAGATAAGACAAAACACACAGAGAGACAAACACGTGTCACATCCAGTGGGAATACCTGCTGTGAAGGAAAGTAAAGCTGGGTAAAAGGGATACAGTAATGAGTAGGAAGGCAAGGGGTGCTATTTTATGGAGGTGATCAGGTAAGGCCTCTGTGAAGGTGACATTTACATGGAGACTTGAAGGAAGAGAAGTATAAACCACGTAGAAATCTGGGGGAAGAGAATTGTAGGCAAGAGAAATAGCAGGTGTTAGTGCAGGAGCATGCCTGGCGTTTTCAAAGATCAGCAAGAAGAATGTGGCTGAAGCAGAGTGAAGGAGGAAGGGAATTGCTGCAGATGAATCAGAGAGGTAGCCCCTGTGGGCCACAGTGAGGACACTGGATTGTACTCAGAGGCAAATGGGAACCCCTTGAAAGAAGATGAGGAGAAGACAGCCATGATATGATGTATATCTTTAAAGGCACACTCCGGCCGCCATGTTGGAACGGGGTGAAGGTGCCAAGGTGGAGGCAGGAAGGTGATCCTGGCAACTATGGCAGTGGTCCCCAGAGAAATGAGGGTGGCATGGACCGGGAGGCAGAAGTCGGGATGCTGAGAGCTGGTCCTGGTTGAATTTTGAAGGAATTGATCATAGGATTTGCTAAAGGGTTTCGTGAGGGAATGAAAGAAAGAAGTCAACAACAACTCCAACATCTCGACCTGAGCAAGTAAAAAAAATAAGTTGTCCTTTGCTAGGATAGGGAAGGGATAAATTTGGAAGAAAGTGCCATGAGTTTGGTTTGACAGGCATTCCCGAACCCAGGACCGGAGTAGGACTGGGTGGGGGCTGGCCCATAAGTTACCCTTCCAAAACCTGGGCTAAGGTTTTGAGTCCTGGGTGAGAAGGAGGGTGGAAAGTAGGGGGACATCCCAGCCTTAAATGAAGTACAATTGGTTCTATAACAGATAAGACCACGTGAGCCAGAGACTAGAAGAGGCAGGCGTCTTCTCAAGGAGCTTGAATGGGAGCACTTGAAAAGACAGAGAGCGACGAAGACTCCATCTACAAGGAGTTTGGGAGAGAAGATCAGAGAGGAGGAGCAGTCATCAAGGCTTCCAGAAGGAAGTGGCTCCTGACTTGAACTTCTGTGGAGGGGGCTGAGCTTGGGATACAGAGGAAGTGGGGGGGGGGGAAGATGGGGGCGTGCAGGTGCATTATGAAAGCTTAAAGCTGAATAGAGTGTCTGATAGAAATGTGCAGGAGTGATTAACGAATACGAACCTGCAATACAGTTATGAAATGAGTTGAGTGCTAATTTGTCCCTGTTGCATCCTTTCTCAATGATCTGAAAGTAAAAGTAACTCGCTCTTCGCCTTCATTTTCTCTCCCACATCTTTACTTTTCTAACCATACAACTTGCACATCCAGCGCTAAGCAAGAGTGGGACTTGCTGGCACTTCTGTCCACTAAGTGAATAGGCCAATTTTCTGGAGCAATTTTTCCCGATAGGACTGACTAAAGTTCCATATTAATATAATTATGAACGTAGTGTTACTTAAAGTCATATACTATATCATTTAGACAGGAATTATGTATTTACCTATATCCACTTTTACAAACAGTACGATCAGGTGAGCTATAAGACAGTGAGTTGATATTTCATCGTATAACATGGCAAAAGTTAGGAATGGAATTCTCTGTGCATTTTAGGAACTAGATTCTTTATCAGTTTTCGTGAAACAAATCACCCTTTCCCACTGAGATTTTCATATTTGACAGAATGTAATTTAATGTCATATTGATCGGCGGACCTCTTCTCTGTTTTCAGTATTATTCTTTTTTTAAAATGGATACTCATTTTCATTTATTTATGCTTTAAAAATAAATTTCTGATGAAAAATATTGTAACCAAAGTAATTTGATTTGCAGATTACAGATGACTGGCCAGGGTATGACTTGAATTTATTCACATACCCGCAGCACTATTATGGAGACCTGGAGTATGTTCTCATACCTCATGGCATCATTGTGGACAGGTGGGTGTTATTTCTTGGTGTCGGAATACACTTTACACCCCTATTCCTGAGTCTCTCTTACGTAGAAGAGACAGAACTTTTATGGGACAGAGCATTTGGAATAAAATGAATCTTTAACTGAACTGTTTACCTGGACATTTGTTCAGGGGAAATGGTAAGAATATATATATTATAAGTAACAGCCTCAAAATAAGCAATGTCTTGTACAAACAGGTAAAAACAGGATTTGGGAAAGCATTCCTTTTTTGAGGGGGGAGGGGAAGCATTTCTCTTTACCTGAGGACCTCTGTCTTATATTTTTCACAGACTCTTGAGTTAACCAGGAAAAAGCAACAGGTGAACTTTGCTTTTACAGGACACACCCTTAAAGCCCTGGCTTTTCCTGCAACTTGCACATATCTGGGATCAAGCAACATAATCACAGATCTTCCAGTCTGTGCACAATTATGTTTTCCAGGCAGTGGTGGTAATATTTTGGGAATAGGAATATTTTCAGCTTAAAAATAGCTGCACAAGACTATTTCTAGTATACTATTTCTAGTTTTTTCTGACCGTTCTATACAGATATTCTTTAGCTCCTTCCTAGCCAATTGGCTTTCCAAAAACCAACATGTTCTCTCCTGTTATAAGCCCCTAAGTTACCATTTGTTTCTTGGTTTTCAGAGAGCCTCCTCCACCAGCATCAGGATTTAAAGGTCTTACCCCATTTCACAAAACTGCCTAATGCCCAGGCTGTTGCTTTTCCATGTACTTCTCACTTCTTGTACAAGGATCAAATACTTAAGCCTTCACATTTATATGGAAAGCAAGCCTCACAGATTTCACAGTGCACTCCTAGGAACACAACGATCCTTCAGACACCCAGAAATAGGGGCGGGAGAGGCACCGGGGAGTAGAAGCAAATTGAAACCTTGGACTCCGCACCCTTTTTTTTTTTCTTAAACCAGAGTACTTTCACCTCTATTTTTAAAAAACCTATTCTATTCTTCCGAGTTAATATTTAATTTTATGAAATAAGTCCTTAGCCAAAGTAAAGTATGAAAAACACAAGACAGTCACATTCCCAGGATATTATCTTTCCATCAATTCCTGTCTGTAAGCAAAAGGAAATATTCTTTTACTCCAAGACTTTTCCATCGGATAAGACCTGCGTATCGCATGTTCTCTCAAACTATAGTAGATTATTAAAATAAGGTCTAATTTGGAGTTCCTCATGGCCCAACATGGCTGTCCGTGGAATACAAGTCCCAATCTGCAGAGGGAACAAAATGTTCTGTGATCAGATAAACTTGGGAAATTTTGCATCTCCCAAATGGCCAGATCTCCCTGCTGGCAATTCACATTAAAGATATGGAAATTCCTGCAAAAAAGAATTAAGCCAACTTTTGTTATGCAGTAGAATCCTTGTATTCAGTTCACCTCTTAATAACTCAGAGGCATTTTTCCTTTAACACTGGTTCGAGAACCCTCTGGTCTAAACAAATTCCTGCTTTTCTCACCTGAATTTTATGACTTTAGTTAATTGCATCCTGATCTAGTACATGATTTAATCCTGGTAAGGTTACCCAAAGCCAGTTCCCAGAATAGGAGACTTACCCAGTGAACTTGTTAAGATACAATTTCTTGGGGCACCTGGATGCCTCAGTCGTTTAAGTATCCAACTCTTGCTTTCGGCTCAGGTCATGATCTCACGGTTCATGGGTTCGAGCCCCGCATCGGGCTCCCCGCTGCCAATGCAGAGCCTGCTCTTGGGATTCTCTCTCTCTCCCCTTCTCTTTCTGCCCTTCCCCTGCTCTCTCTTTCTCTCAGAATAAATAAAGAAACTTAAAAAATCTTTTTAAAAAATGCATATTCGTATGCTTTATGCCTGGAAATTCTGCTTCAGTGGCTGGGAGTGGAGCCCAGGAATGAATTCATTAAGATGTAATTTACATATTTTGAAGTTTACCCATTGTAGACAAATGATTCAATGATGTTTAGTAATTTTTTATGGTTGGGCAAGCACAAGCATCATTTTACAATATTTCTGGCATCTCCAAAAGTTTGTTGGTTGTCAATCCCCATTCCTACTTCCAGCGTCAGGCGGTCACTAGTCTGATTCCTTTGTCCATAGATTTGTCTTTTCTGAACATTTCCTATAAGTTAAATCATACAATACCTAATTATTGACTTAGCAATCCATGGTTGTTTGGATTTCTAGCTTGCGGCTACTATGAACAATGTATCTGTGATCATTCACATGTCTTTGTGTGCATATATCTTTTCATTTCTTTTGGATAGATTCTTTGGCGTGGTAGTCTGGGTCTGATGGTTAAGTTTAAGAAACTGCCAATTATTTACAAAGTGACTTTACCATTTTATATTTGTACCAGCAAGGATGAGGGTTCCAGTTTCTCCACATAGTTGCCAACATTTAGTGTTGTCTGTCCCTTTGACTATAGCCATTCTAGTGGGTATATAAAAGTATCTCATTGTGATTTTAATGATTAGTGTGCTTGTTAGCTATTTATGTTTTCTTTGGAGAGATAACTGTTTAAGTCTTCTGCCATTTTTACATTGGGTGGGTTGTCTTCTGATTGAATTGTAACTGTTCTTTATATTTCTGGATACAAGTCCTGTAGCAGATATACGGCTTTTGAAAATACTACCTCCTTAGTTTGTGGCTTGTCTTTTCATTTTCTTTTGAGAAGAATGTGGGATGCAGTATGCTATAAATGCTAAGTAGGTCCAGTTGATTTATGGTACTGTGTGCTTTAACTATACCCTTACTAGTTTTCTAACTGTCAGATCTGTCAATTACTTAAAGAGGGGTATTGAGTCTCCAACTGCAGTAGTGGATTCATCTATTTCTCATTCTAGTTCTGTTAGTTTTTGACATTCTGTTGTTAGATGCATGCACACTAAGGATTTTTCTGCCTTCTTGGAAAATTGACATTTTTATTATTACATAATGCCCTCTTTATTCCTAATAATCTCCTTGCTCTGAAATCTGCTTTATTTGAAATCAGTAAGTTACTCCTGCTTTCTTTTGATTAATGTTAGTATGGTATGTCTTTCTCCATCTTTTTACTTTCAATTTATCACTGTCTTTGTATTTATAGACAACATATGATAGGGTCTTTTTCTTAATCCACCCTGACGGTCTCTATCTTTTAATTGGTATATTTGAATCATTCACATTTAAAGTGATTATTGATATAGTTGGTTTAATATCCACCATATTTGTAATTATTTTCTGTTCATTGCCCTTGTTCTTTGTTTTTTGTTTTCATCTCCGACTCTGTGGAAACTGTTTCCCCCGCTGTGTGTGGCCTCTGATGATACGTGATCTATTTTTCTTGTTTTTCCTTGTAAGTCTCACTTACTAAGTCTTAACCCCTGTGTCTGAATAGCTTAGTTTTCAGTCTAAGATTTGTTAGAGATTGTATTCAAACACCTCAAGTCAGTCAGGCTTCCACTTTCTGCTGATGAATGTGTGTGGAGGCTGGCAAGTACATTCACATTTCCAGCATGTTTTAAGTTTTCCCTGGCTCTTATTTTTCACCGTGCTTTCTTGTGCCTCTTCTGCCCATGCTCCTAGGCTCCATCTTTTGGGAATGTATGGGTAGCCTGGTCCCATGTTCGTTTCTGTGTGCATATGTGTAGCTTCTGGTCAACTTGGGATACGTGAAGAGTTTATTGTCTGCCCCTCTCCCATGACCCTAACCTTCCAAAACTCCCTATGAAATCCCTGACTAGACTAGTCTGCCAGTTAGTTGCTTAAACAGGAAACTTTGTGATAATGGGGCCACTGGCTTTCCCTGTTCACCTGCTACCAAGATGGCCGTACTGACTGCTAATGCTCCCTACCAGGTGAGCTCCCTCTGGCAGTGCCCCACCCAGGTTGAACTACCTGGTTGGACAGCAGAGCTGATCGGGGGGCGGGGGGGGGGGGTGTGTGGCTCAGGGAGATGGGAATATTATCCCACAAGAATGCCATACACTTGTGCTATTTCTATCCACTGTTCAATGTTTTCATGAATAAATGATTCCCAGTTTGTTATATGCCTCTAGTTTACTTCCAGAGTGCAATAAATGGTTGTCTTTGACAGTTTCATTCATCTTTATAGTTACTTTTTCATGGAGAGGATGTGTTGACCCCCTCACTCCATTATGCTGAAGACAAATGTCTCTTTTGATAGAATATCTGGCATGCTGATATACATTTTCTTGATCATATTTTGAGAAACATCGCCTGAAGCCTGGTTGCCATTTTATATGCATAAGTGTATACATATGTAAGCATACACCCACATACATATAACTTTTATAAAATATATTAGATACTAGATACGTAGAACATACATAATATAATGCTTTATATATATATATATATACACACACACATAAATATATATTCAGATCATTCAGTTAACCCATTTTAAATCTAATCTACCTGAAGTGCCAGTGGGAATTTTTTTTTTAAGAGAGTGCACATGCACATGAGAGTAGGGGAGAGGCAGAGGGAGAGGGAGAGAGAGAGAATCTTAAGCAGGCTCCATGCCCAGTACAGAGCCCAATGCAGGGCTCAATCTTACAACCCTGAGATCATGACCTGAGCCAAAATCAAGAGTCAGACACTTAACCAACTGAGCCAGCCAGGTACCCCAGGAATTTTTTTTTTTATTATGTACCTTAGATCCTGCCTCCATTCAAGGTTTTAATGTTGTATGGATGTATGGGCAATGAACTTATAGACATGAAACAATTACAAAAAATACAGTGACAGTTCCAAATTAGGCACTGGGTGCCAGCCCAAGGCTGCATCACTGGGTAGCTCCAGAAAACCTCATTCACATGGTGCTCCACGGAAATTGCACTCTGAGCACCTTTCACATAGGTAATGTGCCATCTCTGTCAGATAGGAGACAGATGTTATTATTTTGATAGTTACTATGGAATTGACTTTTCATTCTGTCTCCTTTAATGTTAGTTACTATGGAATTGACTTTTCATTCTGTCTCCTTTAATGTTATAAGGTGGGTGAGTCATTCATTCTCTGTTTCCTCTCTTTCTGCTATAAAGCATAACATCACCAGATACTTCCACAGCATTGTTAAGGTTAACAACTAGGCTCTGGAGTGATAAAATAATAACATTCATGATCTTTGATATATATTTTACATCTTTCTAATTTTTGTGACACAGAGGAGCAAAAATGTACTATTGATGATGCAGTTATCAGAAATGTGTTTTGAACACTCTCTCTTTGTCCAGCTTTAACAAAGCTTCTTTATCTGTAACCTTCTCTCTCCTGAACTCCTCCACATTCTCCTGCATAATCTAATACATGTAGTGCATCGTGCATTTTTTTTGAAAGGAACAAAAATACCCAGAAGTACTTATGCTTAAATATATCTTGTAATCCCTCTTTCAGAACAGAGCGGCTGGCTAAGGATATTATGAAAGACATAGGAAACTGTGACATTATGGTCCTCTGTGTGCTTAAAGGAGGTTATAAGTTCTGTGCAGATCTTGTAGAACACCTTAAGAACATCAGTCGAAATTCGGATCGATTTGTCTCTATGAAGGTTGATTTCATCAGACTAAAAAGTTACAGGGTAAGTTACTTATTCCATTTTCATTATACAATGTGTAAAGAATTTTCTAGAATAAAAGAATAGACAATGTGATGAACATGAAGAATGTAATTTTTTTAATTTGCAAGATACTGCAACATATAGTTCAAATAGTATCATTTGTAAGGAGAAAAACCCTCTTTCTGTTTTCACATATATGGAAAGTTGCTTGGGGAATGATTCATGCTAGGTTTTATGGCTGTAAAGCTGAGTGGCTATTTCCTGGTGACTAGCCTCACAAGCGAGTGTGTTAACAATGAGTGTTAAGAGGTCCGGTGAGTGCTGACGTGTTTCCGGTCTGGATGTCATCGTTAGCCCTGGAATTCTGCGGGAGGGTGTCCAGCCCGAGAGAGGACAGTATTCGTACTTGAGTGACTGCAGTTATGGTCCAGAAGTGAAGAAGGGAAGTCTGTAGAGAGAGTGAGTTACCCGATAGGGACAATGAGTTACCAAGTGCAAGGAGACAAGATCAGAGAACCTCCAACAGAAGGCCCCTCCACCAGTCTATCCTGGGCTTTCTTGGTCAGCACTGGACAGAGCTGAGGGAGACTATTCTCCAAAGATGTCTTCCCTTAAATGTTCCTCGTTCTATGATGTTACCTTCTGTGATGCTTTTTGATTCAATGTATAGTAAATCATTAAAACCAGCCTACTACTGGGGCACCTGAGTGGCTCAGGTGGTTAAGCGACCGACTCTTGATTTTGGCTCAGGCCATGATTTCATAGTTCATGGGATCGAGCCCCACATCGGGCTCTGTGCTGATGGTGTGGAGCCTGCTTGGGATTCTCTCTGTATTTGTCCCTCTCTCCAACTCGTTCTCTCTCTCTCTGTCTCCCTCTCTTTCAAAACTAAATAAATAAACTTAAAAAAAAAAAAACCTAGACTACTATTTGATGAAGAGCTGTTGGAGTCAAAACCATGAAATTATTCTCTTTGATTAAACTAGCTTGACACATTTTAATTCACTCTTCAAATGGGTTTTCTATTTCTGTGTGACAAAATCACCACAAACTTAGTGGCATAAGCCAATATGCATTTATCATCTCAGTTTCTCTAGGGTAGACCCCCCAGGCATGGGTTCTCTGCTCAAGAGTCTTCCCACGTCCAAAATCAAGATGGTAACTGGGCTGGGATCTCAGCTGAGGTTTGCAGATGAGTGACCTTTCCATAATCCCTGGCTCTGGGCAGAATTCAGTCTCTACTTCTCTGCTGACTTGAGGCTGAGGCTGGAGACGCTTTCAGCTCCTGCAGGCTACCCTCGGGCCTTTGCCCATAGTTCCCAGCACAGGAAAACCCTTTCATTTATTGAGGGCCTGGCCCCTCTTTTAAAGGCTGGCATGATTAGGTCTGGTTTACCCAGGATGCTCTCCCTTTGATGAACTCAAAGTCAACTAACTAATCACTTAATCGTGGGAATGCATTCCCATGGTTACTAGCCTCACCCACACTCGGTGGAGGAAATTAAGCAGGGCGTGTATACCAGGGAACAGATACGCATGCGCCCTGGGTTCTAACTGCCACTGATTCAGTTGCTTCAGCTCTTGAGCAGCTGGCTAATTATTGCCCAATTCTTAAGACACTCTGTATTCACTCTGAGACACTATGACGTCTCAGGCCAGAATAAAGCGGTTTTTGAGGCACCTGGGTGGCTCAGTTGGTTAAGTGTCCAACTTCAGCTCAGGTCATGATCTTGTGGTTCCAGAGTTCGAGTCCCATGTTGGGTTCTGTGCTGACAGCTCAGAGCCTGGAGCCTGCCTTGGATTCTGTGTCTCCCTCTCTGTCTTTCTCTACCCCACTCACGTTCTGTCCCTGTCTCTCTCTAAAAAGATAAACATTTTTTAAAAATTTAAAAAAAGAAAACTTTTTGTAGACGTCTTAACTTTAAATTGTTGGTTTCATCTTCTCTTGAAAACCATTTTTTTAAGTTCCTTTCATCTTAGATGAAGTCACTGTGCTTCCTTATGAGATTTTTTTTCTCATTTACTTGGCTCTGATACTTACTGTTTTTTCCCTGGAAAACAGCTTTTTAAGCTCTTTTAAAAACTTAAAGTCAGATTTGTTGAGGTATAATTTATATGCAGGAGAATTTATCTGTTTGAGTTTACAGTTCTGTAAGTTTTGACAATTGCATACAGTCATGTAAATCACAACAACCAAAACATAGGCAATTTCTCACTGTAAAAAATGCCGTGTCCCTTTGCAACCAACTCTTTCCCCAGAACCTGGAAACCACTGATAGATTTTCTGTCCCTAGAGTTTTGCTCTTTCTAGAATGTCATATAATGTAATCATATACCATGTAGCCTTAGTAAATCGTAGCATGTTTCATTTGAGATTCATCCATGTTGTTATGTATACCAGTAGTTTATTTCTTCTTATTATCAATTAAGGTTTCATTATATGGATATATCATAGTTGTAAAATCATTTATCAGGGGCGCCTGGGTGGCTTAGTTGGTTGGGCATCCAACTTTGGCCCAGCTCATGATCTCGCAGTTCATAAGTTCGATCCCCAGGTCGAGCTCTGTGCTGACAGCTCAGAGCCTGGAACCTGCTTCGGATTCTGTGTCTCCCTCTCTCTCTGCTCCTCCCTTGCTCAGGCTATCTCTCTCTGTCTCTCAAAAGTAGACAAACAAAAAAAAGAATGTAAATAAAAATAAAATCACTTATCAGCTGAAGGATATTTGGTTTGTCTCCTTTTTGGGATGATTATGAATAAAGCTGCTACAAATATTCACAAACATTTTTTTGTCTGTACTTTTACCTGCATTTCCATGGAGATTCCTAAGTCATAGGGTAGTATATATATAAGAAATTACCAAACTTTTTTTAGACATATTGAATAGTTTTGTGTCTCCACCAGCAGTACAGGAGAGTTCTAGTTGCTCCATATTTTCAACAGCACTTGATATTATTTGTTTTCCTTTTATTTTTTCCCTTTATTTTACCCATTGATATACGTGATTATATCTCATTGTGGTTTTCATTTGCATTTGTTTCTTTGGTGAAGTGTTTGTTCGAGTATCTTTTCAAACATTTGGGTAGTTTGCTTTCTTATTATTAAGTTGAGAGTTCTTTATATATTTTGGCCACAAGTCCGTTATTAGATATCTTGTTTCGAGTATATTTTTTCCAGTCAGTTGTTCCTCATTTTCATAACAATGCTTTTTTTTCCCCCCAAAGAGCATAATGTAAACATTTTTACAAACTCCAATTTATCAGTTTTTTCTTTTACGGATCATGCCTTTTGTGTATCTAAGTAATCTTTGCCTCATTCAAGGTCACAACAATTTTCTGTTTTCTTTAAAAGTTTCACAGTTTTAGATTTAAATCTAAGTCTATGACCCATGTTTTGTTAATTTATTAATAAGATACTTTTTTTTTTTTTGTAAGTGAACATCCAGTTGTTTCAGGATTGTCTGATGAGAAGACTGTCCTTTCCCATTGTAGGACCTTTGCTCTTTCACTGAAAATCACTTGAGTGAATAAATATGGGTCTATTCTGGATACCCTAGTTCTGTTCATCTATATGCTTATCCTTCTGTCAATGCCACACTGTTCCGATGACTGTGGCTGAGTAATTAGTCTGGAGATCAGGTACCATGTGCTCTTCCCACTTTGTTATTTTTCATAAGTGCTTTAGCTATTCTACTTCTTTGCCTTTCCGTAGAAATTTTATTTTATTTTTAAATATTTATCTCTTTAGTTTGAGAGAGAGAGAGAGAGAGAGAGAACGTGAGTGGGGGAAGGGCCAGTGACAGATAAAGAGAGTCCCAAGCAGGGCTTGATTCAACCCCACTCATGGTTCCATCCCATGAACTGTGAGATCACGACCTGAGCCAAAATCAAGAGTCAGACGCTTAACCAACTGAGCCACCCAGGTGCCCATCCATATAAATTTTGAAATCATATTGTTGATTTCTACAAAACAACCTGTTAAAATTTTTATTGGGATTGTTTTGAATCTATAGATCCACTTGGGGAAAATTAACATCTTAACAGGTTTTAGTCTTCCCATCCATGAACAGGATATATTTCTCATTTTTTTAGGTCTTATTTTTAGTATCCATGTTTGTCTAGTTTTCAAGAGTCAGATCTTGGACATCTTTGGTTAGAATTACACCTAAATATTTAAAATGTTTTTGGTCCTATTATATTTGGTAAGTTTTTCTTTGAATTTAAATTTCCATTTGTTTACTGTTAGTGTATAGAAACACTACTCATTCTATATATTGAATATTATGACTTTTCAAAACTCTTATTAGTTCTAATAGTTTTTTATACAGATTCATTTGGATTTTCTATGTTGACATTTTTTTTCTGTAAACAGATGGTTTCGCTGCCTCCTTTCTAATTTGGAGGCTTTTTGTTTTTGTTTCTTTTTATTGCCTTATTGCAGTGGCTAGGACTTCCCGTACAATTCTGAATAGGAATGGTGAAGGAAAACGTTTTTGCCTTGTTTTCAATCGGTATGATATTGACTATTGCATCCCCCACATTTTGATTCATTGTTTTCATTTTCATTCAATTCAAACTATTTTCTAATTTCCTTTGTGACTTCCTCTTTCACTCATGAATTCTTTCTTGTTTAATTTCCAAATATTTGGGGATTTTCCGGAGATGATTGTGTATGATTTCCAGTTTAATTCTGTGGCCGCCACTGTACTTTGTATGATTTCAATTCTTTTACATTTGTTGCAGCTTATTTCATGACCCAGAACGTGGTCAAGCTTGCTGAAATTAACAGTGATGTAATCCATGTGAGATTGAACCATATTGCTGTCTCTCATTATCCATTTCTCCGAACATCTTCTCTTTATTTGACCACACATAAAGAGGCACACATCTTAGCACCTATATGCCCTGTTAACTCCTATTTATGTGTTACTAGTTCAGAACATTTGCATTTCTAAAACTCCAGTAGCACTGTGGGCATTCTTGCTACATTTAGAAAGATATTTCCAAATCGATATATTTTTCCT